TATATATATATATATATATATATATACACACACAATACACACACACACACACACACACGTATATTTGGCAGTGGATCCCAATTGTCAACTTGCTGAAATAGAGTCTCACCTGGGAAAGCAGCACCTGAGCAAACCTGTGAGGGATGAGTTGTTAGTTGAGGTGGGAAGACCAATGTCAAAAACAAGAGCCCAAGCATTCAAATAGTGCAGATCTAGAAGAAACCAGAAATAACAGTGAGATTACAAGCCTGGAACCCACAGATAGATGAGGACTAGAGCTCAGTTCTCTAGCCCTTCCCACCTCAAAGGAGAGGATGCCAGAGCAGGAGAAAGCAGGCCATAGCTGAGGTCAGATGAGAGCATTTCAATGAAACAGACTTGGAAGAGTAAGTTTCCATTCATCTCAGTATTTGAACCAGGGTTTTATTTTGGTGTGAGAAACACATTTTTCAATTAAACTTTTTTTTTTTAATGGTTCCAGGGAAGGACTGAAGGTGTCATATATCCAAAGTAGGTGCTTTACTTCCAAGTCTCATCCTGGCCCCAGTGGCCACCTGGTATGAGAATTAATTAATGTTGGCTTTAAACTACTAAACCGCATGAAGTAAGTCTGTTGTGTTCTGGAAAATATCACACTTCTTTTCATAGTTACTAATATAAAGTTTACTTCATGTTGAACAAAACCTGGAACTGACTGTGGTGGAGTTATTGACAGTGTACTGGCTCCTTCTATGCCAACCTGACACAAGGTATAGTCCTCAGGAGAAAGGAACCTCAATTAAGAAAATGCCTCTATAAGATAAGCAAGCCTGTAGGGCATCTTCTTAATTAATGATTGATGGGGGAGGGCTGTGGGTGGTACCATCCCTGGGCTCGTGGACCTGGGCTCTATAAGAAAGCATGCTGAGCTGGCCATGAAGAACAAGCCAGTAAGGAGCACGCCTCCATGGCCTCTGCATCAGTTCCTGCCTCTAGGTTCCTGCCCTGACTTCCTTCAGTGATGAACTATGACCTGGAAGTGTAAGTCAAATAACCCCTTCTTCCCTGTGCTTTGGTCACGGTGTTTCATCACAGCAACAGAATTCCTAGGACAAATAGTAAATACTTTCTGTATTTTGGAGTGAGAAGAGTTTGTCTGTGGTTCTGTCCTCTTCTGGGAAGAAGCATGTTGTGAGTTTGGCATCTTGTCATGTGTCTCTGGGAGACTTGGGTTAACCCTCTGCTTTGAGTGGTCTCTATGAAATGCACACCGTCTGCATGGCAATGTCTGCCTCCTGTACTTACAGGCATGTGAGTTTTCTTACAAATGGAGTTGTCCTCTAATGTCTGTGAAGATCATTTCAGAGGGGTGTGCATGGGAGTCTGCGGGTATGCATGTGTGTCTGCATGTACACATGTGCCTTCTGTCAGGGTGACCATGGGGATCCGCAGGGCATTAGATAGCAGCAGGAAAGGAAGGTGAGGTCCGTCCAACCTTGTGCACTCAGGGGACTTTGTGGAGACAATGTCTGCCAATCCCAGAGGCAAGCTCTCCTGTTCACATTGGCTCCTTTGTTCTCTCACACCAGAACATAAAGACATTTGTCCCCCAAGGCTGCTCATTTTAGTTTCCCTCTTCTACCCATGGCCTCATTCAACGTACCAGCAAAACCAGAGCCTTAAACAGTTACGGCCTGTTGTAGCTTGCTTCCGGTTACTGCCATGTACATTCCATTTCAAAGACCCTCTAGTGCCTCTTTGCTTCTCTCTCTGCCCTGTAGTGTGACCGTCACACAGCAGTCCCGCGTGTCTATCAAATCAAATGCACCCATGCTTCCCCATTTTACTCCGAGTAAAATCATCAACTTTTAGACGGTTGGCACGACCTCCTAAGCGTGTGTACTCTAGGATCACCGTAGCTGAGATCTCTCCATCTCAGCCCCTCTCTCTAGATCCTTCAGCCTCACATCCATTTCTCAAGCACTCCCCTGCCTCAGGGCCTTTTGCTGTGCTCAGCACTTGGAGCATTCATCTTCTAGTTAGCTCTGTAGAAACTCCTTTACATCTCACAGGTCTTTACTCAGTGGCTCAAACGAAGCAAGCCTTTTCCAGGCAGTTCACAAACACCCTAACCCCCTCCGATGACCTAGTTACTTTTCCGGCTTCAGTATAATTATTTCCTCAATATTGTACTCTCATTTTTTAGCATATTTTATTAAAATATAAACTACTAGGGCATCAATTTTAAAATAGTACTGGAACTTATTCCCCAGTTTTTTTTTCCGCCTATCATGTTGAATAAATTATACTGAGCAAAGTAACATTTCTATATTCCTTTTTTAAAGAGTCTTGCATTAGAGTTGGGATGCTCAAAGCTTAGAATGATAGAATAAGTAAAATTTTTCCCTCAATTCTTGCATGTATATTATGTAAGACTGTAGAAATGTCCTGAAAATTTCTGACGAAGAAGGGAAGCTTATGAGGTCCTTAAAATTATGCAATCTGAGATGTTGATGGTTCTGTCATTGACCAAAGCCAGATGGGTTCTCTCAGGAATGTTTATGTGTGGGGAGGCTGTCCTGCCTCAGCTATGTATGTGGTCCCCTGGATAGAATCCGACTCACCTCACTCAGGAAGACCAACTTCCTGTTGATAGGTCAACACAGTAGGCATTCTTCCATGTGTATTCACAACCTGTTTCCCCCTGGTTGTTTAGAGGTTATATTGATTTCTGGAGAAATGCATAGCATATAAATCATGGGTGTGTCCCAATCACAAAATGGCCTGCCAACAGCAAATAAATAATGATATACTCACAGAATCAGAAATAAAGACTTTGCAGGCTTCCCGGCCAGGATGTGAGAGTACTGCAATAGGTAAGGCCACCTTATTCTTTTGCTCTTCTGTTTACCTCGGTCACCTCTAGACTCCCAGAGATCCATACACGAGGACCTAGTGCATTAACAGTCAAGCATTCCCAGAGGTGTGTTCTGTCTCAGGCCCATGCTCTGGTAGTGGCTTCCAAGGGACCGTTTCCCCTCCTGAGTAGGGCTCTTGCTTTTCACAGCATGTAATCAACACCCTCAAGATCTATAAAGGCTGCAAGTTCCAGAGGCAAAGAAACACATAGAGAAACTTGGTGAATTCTTAAAGGACAGTTGACCCTGGAGAAGAGGTCAGCCATACCTGTGAGCAAGATAAACAAAACAAATAAATGCCATTTAGTCAATTGTAGCTGGAGTTATCTCCAGTCCCACCCGGGCCTGCAGCCATTCAGACCCAAATAAACACACAGACGCTTATATTATTTAAACTGTTTGGCCTAATGGCTCAGGCTTCTTGCTATTTGGTTTTTATATCTCAAATTAACCCATTTCTATTAACCTATAAGTTGCCACGTGGCTTTTGTCCTACTGGTGCTTTCACATCATGTTTCCTCTGTTTCTGGCTGGCAATTCCTGGCTCAGCCTTCCACCTCCCAGTCTTCTCCTCTTTCCTTATCCCACCCACACTATACTTCCTGCCTGGCTACTGGCCAATCAGTGTTGTATTTATCAATCAATCAGAGCAACACATTCACAGCATCCCCAGCAGTCCATAGTCTCACATTAAAGAAATATAATAGCCAATACTTTAAAATATGTTCAATGGTCACAATCTATTTGTGGAGAAAGCAACCTGAGGTGCTACTATGATTTGAATCTGAAACATCTCTCAAAGGGTTGTTTTGAACCTGCTTTTCCTACCTCATGGCACTGTTTGGAAAACTGTAGAACCTATTCGATATGTAGCCTGAAGAAGATCACTGTATGTGTGTGTGTGTGGGGGGGGGCGTGGCTGGTCATACCTGCTCCTGGTTCTGGTCTAGCTTCTCTGTGTCTTGTCTGCTGTCACAAGAAACTGTCACATGCTTGTCCCCTCATTGCTTGTCTTCTCACTGCAATACATGATGACCCTTTGAAACCAGAAGCCCAAATAAATCTTTCCTCCCTTAAGTTCTTTCAGATATTTTTTTTTATAGCAACATGCAACTTACGGCAAATATTGGTACAAGAAATGAGGTTATTGCTGTCATAAACTTGACCATGTGTTTCTTGGGCCTTCAGAATAAAATCTGTAGGAGGAATTTGGAAAAATTAGGATCTGCAAGCTCCAGACACCCTAGAATATTATAAGCACAGTTATTTGTGATTCTGATAAGAATCCAGAAATCCAAAATGCTGATAGGCTTGTGGACTGCGAGGGTCCTGTACATGAGATTTCAGATGGAAACTCAATTGGAGATTAGGCTAGAAGTCATTCATGTTGGATTCTTGCAATGACTCTGGCTACATTCTGCCCATGTCCTGAAAACATTGAGAGAGATTGAGTTAAAAAAATGGATTAATTTATTTGGCAAAGGAAGTTTCAATGTAACATAGACTATATTTTAATGTAATATAGCATCCAGCCTATGGTTATTGCTTGCTCCTTTTAGCTATGTTTAGATTTAGAACAGGGAACAAAAAGGCAGATGAGAATGATTTGAAAAATGTGCAATTGGCCAAGGAAAAGAGCTTGAACACATTTAGTTGTGGACAGGATGTGTGCCGGCAGGGTGCTCTAATTATTAATGAGATTAGCACTATTTAGGAGAAGCCAAATAATTTCTGTTAGGATAATTTAAAAAAAAAAGATGCTTTCTGGGTGAGGACTTACTCATAAAAGTTACTAGATTATAGAAATGAACACAAATCTGAAAGATTTTCACATTGAAGAAGAGTGCAGAGGATGCAGCCCTGAGAGATCTGGTGGAACTTGGTCATATAGGGATGTGTTTTTCTTGTTCTTACACCTTTGCACTCAGAGGTTGTTGCAGCTGGAGTCAAAGAATGCCAGGATACTTCTCCAGCTGGCAGTAGAACCTAGCATTGTCTGTGTGGTGCTGGTTTTACAGACATGCAGAATGCAGGAACCATGAGGTCATAAAGGCTTGCACCAAGGTTCCAGATAAAAGCCTGTAAAACCAGGCAGTGCATAGCAGGGAGCCTTGAATGTGCTGGGCATGAAGCTTGAAGGGTGAGACCTGGAAGATCTGCCCTGGAAAGCTGTAGGCAATGACTACAGTTAGACCAGCAGAGAACCCGTGGTACTGCAGATGGTGGAAGATCTGCCCCAGAAAGGTGTAGGCAGTGACTACAGTTAGACAACAGAGAACCCGTGGTACTGCAGATGGTGGAAGACCTGCCCTGGAAAGCTGTAGGCAATGACTACAGTTAGACAACAGAGAACCCGTGGTACTGCAGATGATGGAAGATCTGCCCAGGGAAGCTGTAGGCAATGACTACA